TATCGAATTTTATTAACTAATCTTGGAAAGAAATGAGGCCAAGCTCATGCCTTACTGATTGTTATTTTACGAGATACTTAAATCTTACAAAGCAACCAATAAAGAAGTATTTTTCTAGTGGAAACGCTTCGCTCCCCTTAACAAATACCTGTTAGGACTTCGCCCAGGAGAGCTGACAGTACTAACTGGTGGAACAGGATTTGGAAAGACTACATTTTTGTGCGAATATGCTCTGGATCTATTTACTCAAGGGGTGCGTTTGAAGATGAAGTACTTTTACATTTAATTTGATATACAAATAAAATTTCAGGTGCGAACCCTATTCTGTAGTTTTGAGATGCCCGAAGAGAAAATATTGAAATGGATGCTTGTACAGTATGCAGGGTACGGTATATTTCTATAATTTTCCTGTGCTAGTTTTTGTTCATCAGTGTGGTGTCTTAAATCGAGTATTTGTGCAGTCCCTCACATCTTCGAAGTCTGGCGCGTACTCTCACATATAAAAATGGAATCAAGTGAGCTGATTATGTAGTCTATGATCATATCTACAGTTTTTGCATGCTAGTATGAATCTGCATAGTTCTGTTTTTTTTTGTATCACAGTTTTTTTCTTGCGGATCGATATCACAAATATATAAAACCTATGTCTTGTATAGCATTTGTATATGTTTGAACTGTGCCGATTCAGTTCCTAAGCGTAAGAGCCAATCTGCGATTTTTCTCAAAGTCACTTGTTCGCTTTGTGCCAACTGCTGAAAGCCTTTGTTTCCGTGTATTGATCCAAATGTTCTTTTTACTATTTCTAGAGTTCCACTGTATCGTGTAGAGTACAGCAGTGCTATCGATACATGGCTGGATAAATTCGAACGAACTAAAGGACCCCTTACCATTATGAAGACGACAGAGTTTAGAGAAAAGAGCATTAATCAAATTGCGGCGGTCAGTTGTATATTTTCTTCGAAAAACTCGTTGAATCTTGAATTTTGTAGGCTATTCGAAGCCAGGTCATCAACAGTGGCTGCCAACATGTTGTCATAGACAACTTACAATTTCTGGTAAATCAGTCAACAATGAGCGATGAACAGTCAAGCAGTATGGAGCGCTTCCATATGCAGGTAATATCAACAATTCCACATTTATCTCATAGCTTCTAGAATTTTCCATATAAATCTATGAACAAGTACAGATTTGAGGTGAAACTTTGGAAATGTGCTGTTTAGGATCGCTTTGTCGGACATATGAGAGCGTTAGCAACACAATATGGGGTTCATGTTACCATGGTTGTTCATCCAAGAAAAAC